GGCTAACCTACACGATTGCTATTATGCACTTATCATTTTTAAAAAGTACAGTGAAGAGGGGTGATTTTGTGCCTTATCTATATAATTTTTTGCTTAATTCTATTTTTGTTAAATGTAGAATTTTAATTCTTATAAGAAATAAATTGCCCAGTTGGTAATTTAATTATCTAAAATTAAGTAATTTTAGTCATTGTTTATGTGTCATCTTTTTAACAGAAAATGTTGACAAGGTGTCCATTAATGTTTCGATTACAGTGAACTTAGAATGACTTAATTTAGAATAATTAGAGAACTAAACATGCAATTAACCTTTAACAAAAAAACCGAAAGTGTAGAATGGCGGAATTATTTGAAGGACAAAATAGTAAACAAAGGATATAGTTACATGACTGGTATAGATAAAAAGAAGTGAATGAAAGAGAGAGAATGGGTTACGTTAGGGTGAGGAGATAAGGCAATCAACGACGGAGGACAGAGCGCGAGCAACAGGCAAAGCGTCACCGGCAATAACCTCCAATGGCGGCGCCAATCCCCCGTCGGGCACTATCATGACGGTGGTGTACCTCTCTTGCACTGCATCATTCTCAAACACCACACAACACTGATTATTATTTATTAATTTATTTAAAGCAACAGAAAAGTAGAAGTGAAGAAAAGATATAGACCTTGAAAAGATTGAGAAAGAGTAGCATGAAAGCTTTTGGTTTTGGAGTTGGCGCATCGGACGAGCGCACGGAGAGAGAGTTGAAAGGGTGTGAGTGACTGCCATTTCACCACACTCAACACAACAACAAATGATAAACGGATGTAAAATGTTCTAAGTATGAATTCAGCACTTTTTTTACACTTATAATGCAATTTCCTTTCTTATTTACAAAATTTGGCATATTTTACCAAAATTAACAAAAAAAACTAACTCTTAACTTTGGGATACTAAAGGCTTTCACTTAGTTCCTAACAAATTTTCTTTTATCACCCAATCTTGCAGTTTTCAAATTTCTCATTTCATATTTTGTAGTTTCAAAAAAAAATATAGTATTATATAAAAATATAAGATTCGTTCACTTATTATTTTAAGATTTTAATGTAATATTTGTAAGGTTGAATTCATATCTTATATCTTATTAGTATTATATCTTCTCGATTAACACCTAACATTTACACTTTCTACGTGTATCGAGCTTTAATAACTCATTTTTCATGTTTTTTTTATTCATCGGAGCTGTTATTTTGAACATCAATTTGCAAAAGAATTAGTTGAAGATTAAGAGTTTGTATGGTGGCGCTCATGTCTTGAATGATAGAAAAATAAGATTAAAATTTTGCAGGTGCTTAATGCTGCAATGCTATACTGGCCGATGCCTAATGCATTATACGTTGAAGGTTATGCTCTTGACCGTTTTGCAGAAGGGTTGTGGGCGTTACAGCCCGTTCACCAAAACAGGGTATGACTCAAACATATGTATATTCTTTTTTTTTTCTTTGATACTGAGAGGAAAGAAAGAGATATGTACATCCTGAATGTTGCTTTCTTAGTCATGCTATTTCATTCCGTTTAAATAAAGTATGTACCTAGTTTTATCTTGTGAAGCAGGTGGGATTAGTTCTTGATGCAGGAATAGAGGAGGAACTCCGGGTTCGCCAGTTACAAGTAGCTGATGCTGCAAGGGCTTCCCTTGGATTACCTGTCGTGGAATATACTGTCACAGACACTCCGTTGAAGGTAATAATAAATCATGTTGCATTAACTATCATAATGAAATATAAAGCATCCATTAAACGAGTTGAGTCCTCTCAGATGATGTATGAAACCGACCTCACCTAGGGAGACAAGGCTCCTGTTGTAATGAAACTTAAACAATCCTATATTTTCTGCCAATTTTCCATTCACTAGACTTGTGTTTGCTGATAAAGTCTTAAAGTTTGGAATAAGTGATTTGGTTCTTAAGCCAATTGTTTTTTCTACAGTAAGAGTGCATGTGAGTGCTGTTGATCTTTTGGGGCATCTTGAAGTCATATAAAGCATGTGATGTTCCGCAAAAAGAATAATCTTCCATTTTGCTAGATTTTGTCATAATTTAATCAAACTTGTTTGTGTGACAATTGCTTATTTTGGATCTGGCAAGGGTTGAATTTTTGGTGGTAGGGATAAATTCTATTCAAATTAAAGTTATCGGATCTGTAGTCGTGAAAATTTGACAAGATATTCTATGTTGTGCACTAGAAAGAAACAAGTAATAAGAGTTTTAACGGGAGGAAACCTTGCCAGTTTAACCTTGCCAGTTTATCTTATTGTTGTATCTGTTATATTTCTATATCTCTTAATTTATTTTGGTCTAGTTAAAATTGGAACACTTTTTGAGTCATTTCAGAATGTCTTATTCTCGTCTTTCAGACTTGATTATTTTTTAAGCTGGAGGTAGAAGTCTTTATGCAAGCCGATTCTATAATTTCAAGCATCTATTATCATGATCTGGAGCCATATAAAATACCTAGCCAAAGTTAGGGTGAGCTGTATCCAATTTAAAGCCTGAATTTGACTTGCATTGCATCAAATTTTACAGGTAGAGAAGTGGGAGGATCCAGAAACTGGCCAATCAACTGGGAGGATTAAGCACCCTGATTCTTTACTTAGAGCTGTGAATACATTAGTGAAGAGGTCGAAAGTGAATGCCATTGCTATTGTTGGACGTTTCCCAGATGATGAAATTGATGATGTAGATGACTATCGGCAGGGAATGGTATGGCAATAAATCTAGAAGATTATAATTTGATTCATTGTGCTAGTTCTATTAGATTAAAAGAAGTCATGGATGAGGTTGTTTCTTTTCCTTGGTTCTTTCATATTCATCATATTTGTGGTATGTGTTCTTGAAATGTAACCTGATGTTAAAAGATTCAGTCTGCATCTTATCACTGTCCTCTAAATTCCAACAAGTGTTTGTTCCTTTTTTCCTTAATTGTTCTTTTGAACATTCCTCAGTCATTTCAGTCATTCCTTTGAATAGTCAGCAGTTCAGGAATGAATCTTGTATTTGGTTACCAACACCGTGACACTTGCTTCCCCCTTTTACCTTGTTTAGGGAATAGACCTATTAGCGGGAGTTGAGGCAGTCATAAGTCATCAAGTAGTGAAGGAGTTCCAAATTCCTTGTGCACATGCTCCTGCAATGTCTCCACTTCCAATGAGCCTATCTCTTAGTCCGAAATCAGCAGCTGAGGAGGTTGGTAAATTCTAAATAACAGAGCATTTGGCATTTGTTTCAACTATATTAGAATGATGGAGCTACCACTTTTAGAACTAACTGATAGGTTAAAGTATCATGTTAAAACAATTCATCTATGAATTATAATTTTAGTTATTACTTTGAACTGTGATTTTCTCTTATCCAAGACGTATAATCTTTTAACAGAGTATGATTGATTTTTTTAGTGACTAGGCAAACATGACACATGTTTAATTTGCTATTGAAGTGATAAATTTTCCGAAGCATCTGTTTTAATCCATTTTTTTCATCCGTTAAGAGAATATGATATATTATAGTTTAGTGTATATTTTTTAATTAAGCTCAGCATATGTGTGTGTAGTGTAGATTTTGTAATTATGGGGTCGATAATCATACCAAAGCAAATAGTATTTAAGATTTATAGTGGTTAGATTCTCAGTTGAGCATTAACAGTTTCAATAATGTAATTTATCTATGTCTGCACTGTCTGCTGATGGGAGATCGCATCTAAGATTCAGAACTCTATACATTAAATATATCATACTGGTCTACTGTGTACTGTGTTGGTGGACCTCACTTATTTTGTGCTTTCTGAAAATTTTCTAGCAATTTAGGATGAATATATTTTCCACCGGTTTCAATGATTCGTGCTGCTCCTTTCTTACCTTCTCCAATAGATACCGGTTGTTGGTTTGTCTTGCGTGTGTTTGTATGAGTATATAAATTAATTACTGATAAATGTTACTTAAAACTCTGAAAACTGAAGATAACTTGAGGCTGTATAATAAAACTAGTAGGAAGTAAGGTAGTTTACCTAGTTCAGGATTTCTTATGTTTGTTGACTGTGAAGGTGTTAGAAATCGTCAAGCCACCTGCTTTGTTGAATCTGTTTTGTTTCAAATCTCTGTCCCAAAGTAGAAAATTTTAAAATTTTCAGTTAAGATGATTTTAAAATTGTCTTTTCATACACTGTTTCAATATACAAGAATTAGAAACTTTAATTCTAAGAAAAGGAAAATACAGTTATAAAGTATAACGAGGACAATACAGTTATAAAGTATCAAGAAAAAGAAGATCCCCTTGCTTATTCCAAACATGGGCACAATTAATAACTAATCCTCTTCTTACTATTATTAGTACGGTGCAAGTTTGGGTAAATGGATTAGACCTGCTCAAAAACCAAATTTTAGTTAGATAAAGCCATTTTGAGTAACGTTGCTTTAAAGTTTGAAACCGTTTGCATTAAACTGTTCCTCATTCTTCCCCCGCTCATTTTACTGGATTTTTTTTTCCATGTCATTCATTTTCAAGATTGATGTGTCCATTAAATGAATGAAAGTTTAACATTTCTAGTAGGTGCTTTTTAACATTTCTTGTATTAAATTACTAAGACGATTTTGTTCTCATTATAAATTGGGGATTTCTCATTCTGCGCATATGATGGATAATAGTACTTGTGGATAACTTGCTCTTGTCAAGTAGATTGGGTACACTTTCCTACCATGTGTGCTTGCTGGCTTAAGTAATGCTCCGCAATACTTGGTCATGGACTCCAAATCCTTCGATAAAGGTTGCATAATGGCAAATGATGTGGATTCCGTAATCCTTCCCAAAGATGCTTGCGGAGGGGATGCATGTCTTGCTTTTGCTAGAAATAAAAGCAAAAAGGTATACATACAAACATATTATTGTTGTTTTGCCTTATTTTTATTTTTTGGTTTGATTAAACATATTAGCAAAAGCAACAATTATCTTCATATGGTAACTTAGCTTTCATCCTCGGCAAATCAAATTGTCCAACTAGAAATTTTGATGACACCATTATTTCGTTATACATGACGGTGTACAATTTTCTTGCAGCCACTTATAATTACTGTGGAAGAAAACGAAACTGTTCTTAATGATACTGCAAACAAACTTGGTCTTGAAGTGGTACGTGATTTTTATTCTCTAAACTTGTTATTGTAGGTGTGAATAAAAGTTAGGATCTTTATCTGTTTCATTTAAAATTCTGGAGAAATCAATTGACAAGAATTCAAGTTATTATATATACCGTTTGCTCACCAAAGAAAAAAAATGTGGGTTTGGACAAAAGTTAAAATTAGATAGATGCATAAGAATACAAGTAAAATGATAACATCTCCGTTTTGGGCCACTAAGTGCTAGATTTTTATTGTTGGTGCTAAAAGGAAAAAATAAAATTAAGTTTAGGCACCATCGAGACAGTCAATTTTTCTTCTATTACAATTGAAATGAGAACATTTTGGTTGATAAAATTATCATTCCGCAGCTGCATGTATCAAATTATTGGGAGGCCGTTGGAGTTATTGCAGCTCACAAGGCAGGGATAGATCCATTTTCACTTAGACGTGATAAAATTCTCAATATCGGGTGCAGTTCCTTCATGTCTGTCAATGGTCACTCCATTCCAAGATAAAGAATGGTTTCCTGATTAACATATGGTCTAGTTCACAGGTATCTATAGAGAGAGACAATTTTGTTTGAATCAATAGACTTATAACCATTCACAGTATAATACACGGCTAGCATTCCCAATGAAGACATTTTCCTGATTAACATTGGAGAGTTAATGATAATATATTGCTATTGTTATTAATCACTGGAGGCAATAGTGTATTTGGATTCTTGTATAGCCAAATGTATATTTGATTCACACATTTAGGTCCACTAAATTTACCTCGGTCAGTGTACTTAAAAGTTTGGTTTTTTTATGCCTATAGCTTTATGTTTTTTTATGATTTCATTCAATAGTTTCATTTTATTTAAACAATTTTGTTCCTTGTATGTTTGGATGGTAGTCTCTTTCAAGAGTACATGTGGTGACAAATTGCTGGTGTTAGTGACCACAATGCACACTTCTATTTCAGGGAAGGTACTGGACGTTTTAACTTCTAACTATCCTCTAATAGTGTGGGTCAGATTTGAGATATATACCTGAATTAGTTTAATGACAGGTTTAGCAGTCAGTACAATCTGAAATCGGACTTTTATTTAGCTCTCTAAAATGTTTAGACTTTATTTGTTAAACCTGAAATTCAAAGCTTTACAGGAGGAAGATTTTCTACTCATTCTTGTCAAGCTGCTATAAAAATCGCCCTTTCCATGTGAAAATTAGTATCTCTTTCTTTTTCCTGCGATTGTATGGTAAATTAACTAATTTTCAAGTTGCATAAAATAAATAGTTCGTAGTAATTTAAATACACAGGATATGGATTTTGAAGGATGGCGGAAATTTGTACGAATTATTATTACTACTATAGATGACTCATTAAGTGAGATTAAATTATCATTTTTTCCTTCATTATTAGCTTTAAGAATTAGTTACTTAAGTGAAATTGATTTAGTAATAGAAAAGTGATGTGGTTTTCTTTAAAGAAATAAAGAACAATGACGTCTTTTTGCTACAAGCAAGGTATGAAGTTTTACCTCTTTTAATGAGGCCTGTTATTTTTACGTACGGTGAGGTTTGTTAAGGCTATTTATATCTTCTTCTAAGCTATTGCTTTCTGCAGGCCCTAATTTGTACTTGTCCCCCTAGTTTTATTTCAAACGGTCTCCTCTATGGAGACATGGCCTTGTAGTGGTTGCTGAACCTTGAAAGGGATCATTCCAGCAAGGGTGGTGGAGGTCGTCGTGATTTTCTCAAAGTCACTCAAGTCTAGGGTAGTTAGTTTTTATTGTTTTGTTGATTGAAATGGTTTGCGGGTGTAACTAGAAATCAGAGCCTAAAAATAAGCTTTTGGAACACATAATTCGGAATGTGTTAAGATAAGAAGCATCAACTTTCGGATTGGCTATTCTAGAAGTGTGTTAGGAATATTCTATGGTACAAGCTCACGAAAACATGAACAAAAATTGACTATTGAGGTGGGTAAAATCATTATTATTAAAAACTTATTTGCATGTGTACAAGTCATTCAAGAAATAACATGGAAATTTTAGGCATTTTCAAAGAACTCAAAACTAGCAATAAATAATTTAAAAGAGTAGAGAGTCTAGGATTCATGAAAAGAAGTAAAGAGAGAAGAGTAATGAGAAAATGTGTGTTTTTGGAGGAGAGTGAGCAATCTATTTATAGGTTAAGTATGGGGCACAAATCCCTTGATCAACATCTACAAAATTCACAAAGAAACCAATATTTGTGGAGTCCCGAATCTTGCGAATGAGGTACCACACCTTGTGATGGCAAGCTTTTAGTCAAGGGATCAACTAGAAAAAGTATGACTAAGCGCGTTGAAGAAGAGTTGGAATCATCTATAAAAGGTGAAGCCAAACTCTTATTCTCCTAGGCCATTTGGAAGACATCTATAATGACTCACTAAGCTTTTTCAAACTCCAACTTCTCGATATTACAAAATTTTCTTATAATTAGGAGGTACAACAAAGATGACACATCATCCAATGTCACCAACATCTTATCCATCGGGAAATAAAAAATGTTGGTCGCAGAGTGTCATCGCTCAATGAACGCCAACAATAAACCTTTATCAGTATAGTCATATGAAATATCCACTAGAGGCATCAAACCGAAATTCAACACAAATTATTGAATTCCCTCGTCACATGGTCCAAAATTATTTAACTTTTTTCATGAGACATCAACTTGATCTTCCCTCAATCCTATACAATAACATTTAATATAAAATTTATTGAAAGTAAATAATAGCCATTAAAATTCAAGTTTTGCACTAATTTGGCTATAAGGCATAAGCGACATGCTCAATATAATGAATCAGTAAGGAAATATCATGTGAACTTCTTGGAAATCCACCAACTTCCTCTTCTACTTGAGGAACATCCTCCATCTCCTCCTCATCAACATCATGTTGCTTAACTGGATGCTTCTCAACATGAACTTCAGTATCAATTTCTTTACGTCTTTTACGAATTGAAGGTGTAGGTCATGTCCTCCTTTTACTTTGTGAAGAACTCTCTCCTCGATAAGTAGTGTATTTCGAGTTTTTGTCATATCAATCAAAAATTTATTCATGAAATAGAACACAATTAAAATATTAAACAACGTCGTAAATTAAGTAAATTATACAAATAAAAATTAATTAAAAATAAAATTTCATAAATTAAATATATTATAAAAACTAAATTTAATTAAAAAAAATTCGTTAAAGACCTTAACAGATTTCCATCGAGAACAAATTTCAAAATTTATTAAGATTTTTAATGGATTTCGAAATCCATACCTAAACATTTTCGAACCTATGCCTCTTCATACATTCAAACCAATTTCAAAGCATTTTCAACCAATGTTCAATGATTTTACTCCAGATTTCAAATATTTCAAACAAGATTCTCATATCACATCATACAAAAATCGAATGTTTAAAGAGAAGAAGAACTTAACTTAAGGTCACCACGGATGGGGATATTGGAAAAGGAGTCTGGACTGCGCGAGAAAGCAAAGAGAAAAAGTGAGAAAAAAAAAAAAAAGAGGTGCACGAAGGGTGGTGCGGTGCAAGAAGAAGATAGTTTTTCATCTTCATACACATTTTTTGTGTGTATAAACTGGTTTTGTTGTTGCATCCAAGTAAAGCTAATTATTTGAACACTATTTTTCAGTATATTTTTCCTCAAAAATTACTTATAATCACAATCAATTGTAGCTATTTAATTATATAATTGTTATTAAAATAAGGTTTGGATTATTTTGGGAATCATAAATGTGTAAATTTTGCATTATATTTAATAAACTTTTGTCACGTCTTGATCCTTGATAAATATTTTTTATCTTGGTTTTGTTCTCTATCATCTTTTGTATTAGCTAAGTGGTATGTCCGTGACATAGTAGAACTGACATGTGTATTTTATTTCTAGTTTTAGTCTTCAATAAATTTTACCAATTTCCTTTTGTTCTCAATGATTTTTTTTTCCTATTTTGGTCTTCCATACAAAATTTATCTATGTTGGTATAATGTAAATAGTGTCATTTTTCTTCATTTAGAAATTACGTTCTCTAATACTTCTGATCTTTACTTTTGCAAGATGAAACCAAAAGATAATAAAATTTCATTGGTATAATATAATAAGAGTTGATATTTTTCAAGGTAGGCTGATTTATTTCTCGCACTATTATCTCAAACACAATTTACTTTGCAAACAACTTATTGTAATTCGATTTTCTATAAAATTTAATACATAACATATAATTACACTTCAACCGTTAAATAGATTAAATTTTGTATAAAGTTATTATGATGTATTGACATAAACTACATGGAACGACAGTAAAAAATTTCATCCTTAAAAGATCTGGCTCTCACCAGTTTGTACAGACAGCAACAATCCATGGGAAAATTTATTGTTAATGCGAAATATATGCATATCTGAATAAATGTAAACATAACAGTAGCATGGGAAAAGGAACATGAAAAGGGTTGAAGAATAATATCACCAAGAACAAGTAAGAATAATCTACACAAAGATACACATCACTTTTCCTCCAATCGCCGCAGCACTAACTCAGCAAAGCTCTGTTGCCTACAGATGCATAATAACCAACAAGCTTTAAGTAACATCAAAATCAAATGAACAAAAATATACATTATATAACACAAAAATCCTTGTATATGTGAAATTCTAACAAACGGAATTTGTTCCAACTTGCAAAATATCATGTTTCTAGTATTTAACCAATCCTATAAACATTATTGGAGAAAAAATTTAAGAGGCTCAAGTAATAAATTTGACACATCAAACTTGTTCCAGAAAATATTGGTGATCAGCAATATGCACCACAGCTAAGAAACCAAAACAACAATTTCTTCCAATTAGAATTCAATATGTATTAAGTCTTTGCTAATATTATTGTTCTAATTAGTCTTAAATGTGTTCTAAAATTTTGTTAATGTTATTTTGTCTGGTCCTGTTGAAAAGTTATGCAAATTGTCTATAATCAATGTTGTTAGAAACAAAAATGACACTACAGTTCAGCCAATTATCTGGTTTTGTTGAGAATTTATGATTTATGTATGACCTGTGAGAAACAAAATACATACAAAATAATAACAGAATTAATAACAGTTCAGCCAATTGTCAAGTTTTGCTGAGAAATAATGTAGATTTCCTATAAATAAAGATATAATATAATCCAACTTGTGAGAAACAAAATAAATATGAAATAATAACAAAAATGGATAATAGAATTCAATTATGCCTCCCTGTCCGAACTGCTGCAGACATATGAAATAGCCACTAACATATCAACATATCAGCATAACTATGAACAACATATTAACCCTCTGTGTGTGTCCTCCTAAGATGGAGGAAACATATCAACATATCAAAATATATATTTATAATTTATTTTTAACAGATAATATGTAAGTATTTTTTATATTAATTTTGTTTAATTAACGACTTTTAACTAAATATTATTTAAAAAGATAATTACATATATATCGTATTTATAATTTTAAAAAATTAGCAATACAATATATTATGACAACTACTTTTGAATTCTGCAAGTATAGAAAAAAGAGTAATTGCTATTATTATATTATATTATATGCATTCTTCAAGATATTATCCTTCCTTTGTCCCCTCATAATAGTCTTTTAAAGCTTTTCACTCAAACCAAGAAAATATTTTTTTTTCTATTTCTAATACAATTTTAAGTCATCAACTATTACCCCTTTCAGTTTTCTTTATCATAACTAATATTTCAATGTACACTTACGTGTAAGTAAGTCACCTATTAAACACTAAAGTTAATGTCATTATATTTTCTCTCTGTTATCATAACTAATTTTACCCTTTCAATTTTTCTTATGCCAATTTTATTTGTTAAAAACTCGATAACTAAGAGAGTACTAAGTAATTTTCAAAATATAAAACATATTTTAACTTTATTTGTTTTGTCTTTGAAGATAAAGTCATTGTAAGTGATATATTAAGAAAAAAAAAATTATATTCATTCAAAATTAAAATTATAATATCAAAAGTAACATATTGAAAGTAAATTGTAAGTGTCTAAGTAAATTATATTATATTATATATACATATATAAGTACAATATTAAAAGTAAATTATTATAGTAAAAGTTACTGAATGAAAAGTAAGAATAATATTAAAGACTTAATTAGTACTTTAGTCCTATAATTTGTTGATTTGATCTATTTTAGTCTCTTTATTACTTTTGGCTTTAATTTAATTCTCTAATTTTTTAAAAAATTCTTTGGTCATTTCCGTGAAATTGATGTTAACTCGTAATCTTATCACAAGTCAATTAATTAAATTTTCAATTTTTTAAAATTTTCTTAACAATTTTAATTTAAAAAAGAAAACATAAAATACCAAGTGTCAAGTCATGATGCAGTAACACTGACACCTAACCTTATCACCATTCCTTGACACGCAATAATTTGTTTTTTTTTTAAATTAAAAATATAAAATTAAATAATTTTTTTAAAAAATTAACATAGTGACAAGTACGGATACGGTATTAACGTCAATAAAAATAATCAAAATGAACCTTTTTAAAAAAATTCGAAAACTAAATTGAATCCAAAAATAATCAGGGATCATAGTGAACCGAACTAAAAAAATTATAGAACTAAATCACTAATTAAACCTATAAAAACCATAAAATAGACTGTTGATAATATATTAAAAACTAAAATTAAGTTATAAAAGTAAACTATATGTAATTACCTTATTCATGCAAAATAGTAAATACGTCATTTAATTGAAGCTAAAATAATCTAATTATTTTAATTAAAAATATTGTCACCTTAATTATCTTAATTGGTAAATTTTCTGCTTTTATTCTAAAGTAGTTATAGTTAGAGGTAAAGATTAAAAAAACAAGGGCTACAAAGTGTCAAGATCTAAAAATAACATTTTTTGCAAAGATTAAAACAAAAAAATATATTATTTTTAGGAACCTTAAAACAGATTTAAACCTTCAAACTACAACACCCTAGTGACAGACCATATGACAGCAAATAGCACACTAGGGAAAAAGAACTCAAGAAATTTAACTTACTTCCTTTCTCTGTGCTTTGGGCTAGGACGAGAATATTTTAGATATCCATCCCAAGGAACCTTTTTAAGGCCAGCACGCAATGAGATTATGTCCCTCACCCTATATAGTTAATTAAACAGTGACTATCTCAAGACCAAGATAAAGCCAAACATATATCTCCCAGCATACAATCAGGATCAACATTATTTACCTTTCTGCAAACTCAATTGGTGTCTCTCCCGGCTTCAGATTTTGTGGCTCCAAGTACCAAACATCACAAACAACTGCCCAAGATGTCATTAGCTGCAACAAATGCATGGTGAATGATTGCCTGAAAATGCAGGAAATGCAAAGTCAAAGGCAGAAGTAAACAGCATTGCAGAAACATTTGATGTGAGAAGCATCTTCTTACTTTCTACTATTCCAAAAGGCATCAACAAAAATTTTATTGTACTTGATTGCAACTGGGCAAACTGTGCAGCCGAGTTCAAATGCACCCTAGACACCATTAAAAATTAGAGAAAGCTTCAATACAAATTTATTGAGTACAGAAACGGGAATAGAAGTCAGCAGGTACAAAATAGAAGAATAAAAAATCTATTCCTAAAATAAGATAGGAGAACATAGGCATTTTAAATGGACAGCAAATGCAAATAATTAACACACCTTCTTGAACATGACTGTATAGTGATTATTTACACAAGTTCCTTCAGGAAATATTAGAAGGGGGTTGTTATCAGCTCCCTGGACATGATCCCTCAATCTGAGACATGAAATATTGTGTAAGTAAAAAGGAACTAGATTTGAAATACATTTTATANACATATCAACATATCAGCATAACTATGAACAACATATTAACCCTCTGTGTGTGTCCTCCTAAGATGGAGGAAACATATCAACATATCAAAATATATATTTATAATTTATTTTTAACAGATAATATGTAAGTATTTTTTATATTAATTTTGTTTAATTAACGACTTTTAACTAAATATTATCTAAAAAGATAATTACATATATATCGTATTCATAATTTAAAAAAATTAGCAATACAATATATTATGACAACTACTTTTGAATTCTGCAAGTATAGAAAAAATAGTAATTGCTATTATTATATTATATGCATTCTTCAAGATATTATCCTTCCTTTGTCCCCTCATAATAGTCTTTTAAAGCTTTTCACTCAAACCAAGAAAATATTTTTTTTTCTATTTCTAATACAATTTTAAGTCATCAACTATTACCCCTTTCAGTTTTCTTTATCATAACTAATATTTCAATGTACACTTACGTGTAAGTAAGTCACCTATTAAACACTAAAGTTAATGTCATTATATTTTCTCTCTGTTATCATAACTAATTTTACCCTTTCAATTTTTCTTATGCCAATTTTATTTGTTAAAAACTCGATAACTAAGAGAGTACTAAGTAATTTTCAAAATATAAAACATATTTTAACTTTATTAGTTTTGTCTTAGAAGATAAAGTCATTGTAAGTGATATATTAAGAAAAAAAAAATTATATTCATTCAAAATTAAAATTATAATATCAAAAGTAACATATTGAAAGTAAATTGTAAGTGTCTAAGTAAATTATATTATATTATATATACATATATAAGTACAATATTAAAAGTAAATTATTATAGTAAAAGTTACTGAATGAAAAGTAAGAATAATATTAAAGACTTAATTAGTACTTTAGTCCTATAATTTGTTGATTTGATCTATTTTAGTCTCTTTATTACTTTTGGCTTTAATTTAATTCTCTAATTTTTTAAAAAATTCTTTGGTCATTTCCGTGAAATTGATGTTAACTCGTAATCTTATCACAAGTCAATTAATTAAATTTTCAATTTTTTAAATTTTTCTTAACAATTTTAATTTAAAAAAGAAAACATAAAATACCAAGTGTCAAGTCATGATGCAGTAACACTGACACCTAACCTTATCACCATTCCTTGACACGCAATAATTTGTTTTTTTTTTAAATTAAAAATATAAAATTAAATAATTTTTTTAAAAAATTAACATAGTGACAAGTACGGATACGGTATTAACGTCAATAAAAATAATCAAAATGAACCTTTTTAAAAAAAATTCGAAAACTAAATTGAATCCTAAAATAATCAGGGACCAAAGTGAACCGAATTAAAAAAATTATAGAACTAAATCACTAATTAAACCTATAAAAATAATAAAATAGACTGTTGATAATATATTAAAAACTAAAATTAAGTTATAAAAGTAAACTATATGTAATTACCTTATTCATGCAAAATAGTAAATACGTCATTTAATTGAAGCTAAAATAATCTAATTATTTTAATTAAAAATATTGTCACCTTAATTATCTTAATTGGTAAATTTTCTGCTTTTATTCTAAAGTAGTTATAGTTAGAGGTAAAGATTAAAAAAACAAGGGCTACAAAGTGTCAAGATCTAAAAATAACATTTTTTGCAAAGATTAAAACAAAAAAATATATTATTTTTAGGAACCTTAAAACAGATTTAAACCTTCAAACTACAACACCCTAGAGACAGACCATATGACAGCAAATAGCACACTAGGGAAAAAGAAATCAAGAAATTTAACTTACTTCCTTTCTCTGTGCTTTGGGCTAGGACGAGAATATTTTAGATATCCATCCCAAGGAACCTTTTTAAGGCCAGCACGCAATGAGATTATGTCCCTCACCCTAAATAGTTAATTAAACAGTGACTATCTCAAGACCAAGATAAAGCCAAACATATATCTCCAAGCATACAATCAGGATCAACATTATTTACCTTTCTGCAAACTCAATTGGTGTCTCTCCCGGCTTCAGATTTTGTGGCTCCAAGTACCAAACATCACAAACAACTGCCCAAGATGTCATTAGCTGCAACAAATGCATGGTGAATGATTGCCTGAAAATGCAGGAAATGCAAAGTCAAAGGCAGAAGTAAACAGCATTGCAGAAACATTTGATGTGAGAAGCATCTTCTTACTTTCTACTATTCCAAAAGGCATCAACAAAAATTTTATTGTACTTGATTGCAACTGGGCAAACTGTGCAGCCGAGTTCAAATGCACCCTAGACACCATTAAAAATTAGAGAAAGCTTCAATACAAATTTATTGAGTACAGAAACGGGAATAGAAGTCAGCAGGTACAAAATAGAAGAATAAAAAATCTATTCCTAAAATAAGATAGGAGAACATAGGCATTTTAAATGGACAGCAAATGCAAATAATTAACACACCTTCTTGAACATGACTGTATAGTGATTATTTACACAAGTTCCTTCAGGAAATATTAGAAGGGGGTTGTTATCAGCTCCCTGGACATGATCCCTCAATCTGAGACATGAAATATTGTGTAAGTAAAAAGGAACTAGATTTGAAATACATTTTATAACAACTTTATTTATACTCACTTCTTTGCAACAATTTCTCTATCCTTTGCCTCTGCACGGTTGAACCAGATGCACCCTAGACTCTCCAGAATGGTACTCTGCAACAATCCTGTACAATAACTAATTTTTTAAGAAAATTCACAAATAGTTTGTTTAAGATAAATTATGATACTGATTCAATTTTTTTTTCTCTCAAAAGATGGAAGTTTTATTAAATCATCCCTAATTGTTCTGCACTTTCACATACCCTATTCTTCCAGACAACCATTTAGACTGCCCAACAGCAAGTTTTTTTTTTCATTTAGACTGCCCAACAATTTAGAAGGGATATAGTGCTTAATTTTTCTTTTTTACGAATATTTTGGTGAACTATTTACCTTCTGTTTGTGGCTAGACTGTGTAATCACATACAAACATCAACGTACCAATGATTAGGAGTTAGTATATACAACTTGTTATGGATGAGGAAGGCAAAAGTTTGTGTATCATACTTCTATAATAGATGTCAGCTCTAAATGCTTACCAACCCATCCAGGATGCTTCTGCATAATAACAGCAAAAGCGGTCATCTGTTCTAAGACAATGAAATCAATCATGGATGTATGGTTGGCTACAAAAACCTGCTCAATAAATGAAGGGGAAGCTCAAATTAGTACAGATAACATTTACTCTTTCTTGAGTACATAAATAATGATAATACAACAACATTAATCAAACCTGTTTTGGTCGCCTACTAGGCCTTGGTCCATGATACTTAACAACCCCAGTCCAAGATGCAACAAAGAAACTGCACATCATCTCTACCAAAGACCTCTGAAGGAAATGAACAATTTACAACGTGCCAGTGTTAATACTCAGCACAGGGAGAAAAGAGAGTGTATGTCAGAGAGACCATTCCCAATTCATGCCATGACAACAAAAATAGAAAAATAACATGAACAATGTACTCCACTGCATACAGCATCTGTCAATCAAGTAAACCAATACATAGAGGAAAAATTCAAATAATGCTTACAAATAGAATGGCTAAAAACTATGGAGCTTCAACGATAAAAGAAGAAACCTTTACAGTAGTAGTTTTCAATTTCAACATTTAGCATCTATTTGTTGTCCCATTTAGTCTAATTAATCTAAATCATTTCAATTTTAAATTGTGGTCATTCAATATATTTTTCTTTTCCAACAAACCTGACTATTAATTGGAATGCTGATATTCTTCTTCCAAGAGGAAGAAAATCTTTCATTATTTACAGTGAAAAGGCAAGACCAAGTTTTCCCAAAAGATGAGGCAACATGTTGAAGCTAGATAATAGATACTTGAAACCAAATGCATAAGGCATCTGTCAATCAAGTAAGCAAATACATAGAGGAAACATTTAAATAATGCCTACAAATAGAATGGCTAAAAACTATGGAATTTCAACGATAAAATAACACACCTTTACAATAGTAGTTTTAGTTTTCATCATTTAGCATCTATTAGTTGTCCCATTTAGTCTAATTAATCTAAATCATTTGAATTAGTTGTCCCAACGTCACAAGCTTATTTTCAGTTCATGCAACTAAGCTGCCTGAATGGTCATCAATTGTAATCTTAGTAATAAGATGGAGACCATTATTAAGCAAAATGTCAAAAGGAAAAAGATAGAATAAGTTGAATATGCACCTCAATACTTCTCCTTAACTTGTCATGTCCTTTCAATAGGAAGTGCACTGGAATGAAAGATGAAAGAAATATTATCCATCCTAGTGTTAACCCTATAACCCTGCAATGTCAATGAGGTTGGCATCACTTAGACAAAAGAAAATGACTGCAAAGTAACTCATTAACTGTATCTCCTATTTAGAGAAAATATCTTCCATTCTGGTCTGTATATTTTCCCAGTTTCTTAATATTAGATACCGTAAACCATCTACTTATAGTTAGTCATGCTAAGGACTTCCTCAACCAGTTCAGAACAGAAAATCTTTTCATTATATCAACATGGAAAGTAGTATAGATCGTCAGACAGATATATAGACCAAATAGAAAGGGTATAACTCGATGTGGTCAAAGACAAAGTTCAAATTCCTAATAATAATATTTCTGAGACAGCTAATCTCAATACCTAATTCTACAAATGAAAAAGAGAATAATGTATATATATATATATATATATAAAAGAATTAAAAATTTGCTAGGAAGATTCCGGATTTCATAGTTATTATATGAGTATGATACATGGCACTTAGGAATAAGGCAAACCTGATAGGGAACAGAATCAAGTATCGAATCACAACTCCAAAACACCACAAAGGAAACAGATATAAATTCCAATTCCATGGTTCCGGAGGATTAGACTTGAAGCACCTTGTAAATGAGTCCTGCCCAACATTAAAAGTTCCAACCAATAAGCAAATCACCCAAGCCAAGACAAGGAGCAACACACGGTAGCAGGACAATGTTCAGCATTTAAAAGACGTAGAATTGATTATATAAGTTCTTGCTATAATAATACTATCAACATTAGTTCCTAATTTGGGTCTCTGAAAGAAAATACTGACACCTCAAAACAAGGAAAGAACAAATAAAAGATCACAGCAAATACTTACATCTACAATANAAATTAAAAATTTGCTAGGAAGATTCCGGATTTCATAGTTATTATATGAGTATGATACATGGCACTTAGGAATAAGGCAAACCTGATAGGGAACAGAATCAAGTATCGAATCACAACTCCAAAACACCACAAAGGAAACAGATATAAATTCCAATTCCATGGTTCCGGAGGATTAGACTTGAAGCACCTTGTAAATGAGTCCTGCCCAACATTAAAAGTTCCAACCAATAAGCAAATCACCCAAGCCAAGACAAGGAGCAACACACGGTAGCAGGACAATGTTCAGCATTTAAAAGACGTAGAATTGATTATATAAGTTCTTGCTATAATAATACTATCAACATTAGTTCCTAATTTGGGTCTATGAAAGAAAATACTGACACCTCAAAACAAGGAAAGAACAAATAAAAGATCACAGCAAATACTTACATCTACAATAGCACCTGCTGCCTCAGATAAAGTAGGGGATATATTGAGTAAATCATGCCTGACAAAGTATCAGAAAGAAAACTGGGAATATTAAATGATGCCTGAAAATTTCTTCTCTAACAGATCTATTGAAGAAAATACTGTTCTTTCATTTCAAGCTTATATTCAGTATCAAGTAACAGTACAAGCAACACAAGGAAATAGTGATAGCATACAGAGAAAGCTTTCCATGAGGTTCTTGTTGAATGGTCGATCCAGAAGGGAGGTAATCCTCAATGTTTGGTCGATCAAGGTCTAGTTCAGAACTAGAAGACTTGAGTCTCCCTGTGTTATTCATCCGAGCTGTGATATTACTTCTTCCAGCGACTTCTTGAAGGGACAAACGAGGTCAATATACACTTTTGATCCTGAACATTGATCCACTTTCCACTTTAGTTACTAAAAAATTAATTAATTCAACTTGCAAAAAATTCAGAAATTTCAGGTCCAATTCCAAAACAAAATAGTCAATTGGTAATTTATTTCTTACATTCAGAAACCAATTACGCATAAAGTTGTGATTACATAGCAAAATAATTTCTGAAAAACTTATTTTTCAATGATGATGACTGATTGGTCATGTGTTTAAATCCAGACACATCCTCTTTGCATATGCAAGGCTAAGCTGCATAATACAACCCTCTTTCATACCCTTACATAGCAAGGAACCTTCTGGCACTGGGATACACTATAGAATATATTATATTACAGTAGAGGGAGAAAATTTTTAAACCCCGAAACAGCTGCCACCACAGTCGTTTGCTGTGAGAAACTGAAGAAAACTCACCTAATGTAGGATTTCACTTTTGCATCAACTTTTGTGTTCGTTCTTGGCTTAATCACGTGTTCCCTTGCTGTGCTGATGTTCACTAGCCGCTCGTCACACCACCGTCGCTTCTCACCACTCTATCACGTCTCACCGTGCTGCAACATTTAGGAGAGGAAGGAAAGTGTCACGTCACACTGTTTAGGAGAAAGAGAATTTTATTGTGGTGTTAAGCTGCAATTTTTAGGAGAGAA